GCATGCCAGGTGAGCGCGCTACCGTTTGAGCCATATTCCCAGCCCCTTTCTTTCTTTCTTTCTTTTTTTCTTTTTTTTTTTTTTCGGTACTGGGAATTGAACTCAACCACTGAGCCACATCCCTAGTCCTATTTTTGCATTTTATTTAAGACAGGGTCGCATTGAGTTGCTCAGCACCTCAGCCTACCAAGCTACTAGGATTACAGGCATGTGCCACCGCTCCTGGCTTTTTTTATTTAAAGCTTTCTTGAATATCTTTTTTAAAATATTTTTTAGTTGTAGATGGACACAGTGCCTTTATTTTATTTACTTAATTGTTTTGTGGTGCTGAGGATCGAACCCTGTACCCCACATGTGCTAGGCAAGCACTCTACCACTGAGCCACAACCCCAGCCCTTTTGAATATCTTATTTATTGCTTCTAGAAAGAATTTCAAATGAGTTCCTAAAATATTTTAAACAATGATGACATCACTGAAATAAGTGTTTAGCTCCCCAAAGGAATATAACTCATTTTAATATATCTCATTTTAATATTTAAACTCTGATGGTTTTTTTTTTATTGGTGCATTATAGTTGTACATAGTCTGATAGGTTTTTCTTTTTTAAAGCCATTCTCAGAGCTTCATGAACACAACATCTATATTCATATTTATTAGTTCTTGAGTGAAATCTCAAAACTAAAAATAGTTATAATTTAATTCCTTAGGACTATCTTATGGCATTATCTCTACAACAAGAACAGCAGAGTCAAGAGATGAATTGGGAACAAATCCCAGAAGGAATCAGTGATTTGGAACTAGCGAAGAAACTTCAAGAGGAAGAAGACAGACGGGCTTCTCAGTACTACCAGGAACAAGAACAAGCAGCAGCAGCTGCTGCTGCTGCTACTACTACTGCTAATACACAGGCCCAGGTAAAAACAGCGTTGTGATTCTTACTGGGGATATAGCTCAGTTGGTAGAGTACCAGCCTCGCATGCACAAGCCTTGGGTTCAATCCCCAGAACCACCAAAAAAAAACAAACCAAAAAAAAAAATTTGTTGCGATTCTTAGATATAATCATCACTTAAGCAATAAAAAGTCTCTGCTTGAGGTAATAAAAAAAAAAGTTAATTAGGAACTGACTTTTGAGTTATGTTAGCATCTTAGTACCCATGGATTTGACATTGTCCTAAATTTGTGGTTATCCTAATAATTTCTTATGTATAATTATTTTTCTGGAGATTCTGAATGCAAGATTTTTTAAAACTTATTTTTTAGTTCTTTACAGCTGAAACAAAACAAAACAAAAACCAGAAACCATTTGCTTTCTGTGAGGTAAATGTAATCTGAGTTATTATTGGAACCAGATAGTTGTTGATTTATATTTCCTATTTATTTTTTCTCTTCCTAATTGCAATACCCTGGACAATAACTCTCTTAACCTCATTTTCCTTCTCTGTGAAATAAAAGATAATACTCTTAGATTCTGGTGAAGAATTTAAAATGTTAGCACTTACCCCAATGTCTATGACATATACTAAGTATTCAGTGTAAGTCAGCACATTTCTACTCCTCACTCCCTCAGTTAATGTTTAAGCACTGAAAATAAGATGATTATGTGGGTTTCTAGATGTTAAATCTTATTTTTTTCAATCAAAAAAACACTCTCCTTCTTTTATATTATCTGTACCATGTCAGGACTGTTCCTTTTGATTGGGGTATATAAGAAAGCAAGATGGCCTTTAAGGTCTGATGAAACTAAATATAGAATTCTTTTTTTTTTTTTTTTTAAAGAGAGAGTGAGAGAGGAGAGAGAGAGAGAGAGAGAGAGATTTTAATATTTATTTTTTAGTTCTCGGCGGACACAACATCTTTGTTGGTATGTGGTGCTGAGGATCGAACCCGGGC